GCTTTAACTATAACCTCATTTTGTTTGTTTTTGTAGTTTTTTTGAGATACTTCTACAAGCTGCGGGACAACAAGGAAATGTGATAACTTACATGGTTACATGATTACTTCGCAAAAATATATCTAAAGTTTTGAACTGGAATTAATTTTAATAGCAAGAATAATAATCGTCTTTGTTTATAATGATTACATTACATTTGGCTATTCTTCCACTTGACCCAAATATTAAAAAGAAAAGTATGACACTGTTCAAAATTATGTGAATTCATTAAAATTTGAAATTAAATCTACAAGCTCATACATACTCATAAAAACACACTTATTTCGAACCCATTTAAAAATAATGCTTTTAGGAATAGAGTTGTTCAGAGTAACTGCATTGAATGTTAAAGATCGGTTAAATATGTAGCTTGGTGAATAACTGCGGTGATCTGATATTTCTATTGGATGAAATTATATTTAAGCGAGGTATAGGTTAGTTTTTCAAATGTAATGTTTTTTATTAACTTAAATTTTGTGTACAAGAAAAGAGAAGATGTTTAACAAGCCCATACTATCAATGCTCCTTGAAGTGCGGTCATACTTTTTTAAATTATCCATCAAACGGCAATAATTATTTTGGATATTTTGTGGTCGGTTTGCAGTGGTTTGATCTAGACGCGGAAAATAAAAAAATATAGAATTTTTGACATTTCGCATAACGCTTTTTAAAAGATTTACTCATAATCTCTTTGTTTGCAAATATAAGCCGTAATAACAAATAACAGTTCCTAGAAATTTAGCTGACGTGCTCTCAGAATCTTAGTTTTTCATCAAAAATTACTTTAAGGTTTGTAACACAATCACTAAGCATTAATTTGGTATTTTCAATAAATGCATAAAGTGCATATTATTCTTTAGTAAATTATATTTCATTTTTGGACTGAAAATGATGATTCTATCTTTTCATCGCGAAGTTTTAGACCGTTCTGCTTAGCACAATCTGAAATCGCTTTTAAGTCACTATTAATTAGGGAAGCTGTATATTTAAATTTTTGGAGATTAACATTACAGCTTTTAACTATTTTAATTTTGTATGAGGTATATATGGCGAAAAGCAAAGGGCCTAGGACAGACCCTTGCGGCACTCCAAATGTAATATCTTTTATTCCAGAAGTAAAAACATTCGTTTAAATTTGATCCACCTAGCAGACGTTTAAAATACATTAAGAATGCAAAGTGTCAACTTTGCATGTAGTATTGTCCTGGAATGTAAGTGCATTGCTTTACCTGATGGAACTGTATAGCAAACGACGTAAAAAGACATGCTAACGATATGAGCAAGCCGCCTAAAACGGCGGCTAATCTGGCTGATTTCCTCCGGCAGATGGCCACTATGATCGGTGACGTGAAGAAGGAAATGCTCAGGCACATAGCGCCCATTGATGCTGTAACAAAATAAATTCTTTGTAGTCCAGACAATATCTTCGCACTTTAAACACTTTTTTAACAAATTCTAAAAATTCTTTTGCTCCGGTCTTTTTAGACTAAAGTTATATAACTAGTTATAAAGATACAAGCGATACGATATTTGAAAAAATGCAAAATATGCCATTTTCGACAACGAAAAACAATATGGAAAAACAAAAATTTTAACGGTACGAATATTCTTCAAACATCCATTAACAAAATCCCAAAGCATTTCAGGAGGAGGAGTATTAACTGAGCGTGCGGTGGGAAGCGTATAAATATACTACCGCAAGCAAAATTTCCTGAAAATGGAGCACTTGAAATGTCAAAAAACGAAGTTCTTAACTTTTTTTGGTCTTTTCGCCGCCGTCACTGGACCGATTTTCTAAAACTACGGAGCTGTTTTGTCCTTGGCACAGTAGGTATCCCGTATGAAAATTTCATCAAAATCCAAACGGAACCTTTCAAGTTATAGACGCGGCAGACAGACAGACCGACACACCGACAGACTGACAGACAGACCGTCGGAAATGGGTTACATGGTCGTGATGACGCGATTACAATACTTCCTCGCCAGTAGGCATGGGAAGTAAAAATAACCCAAACTTCTACTAGCATAGTGAAGTAGCAACTATATTCCGGTCTTCCCTACACCACTAGATTACTTCAAATTATAACACAAGCGTCATTTTTAAATGTCAACCTAATTTTAGACGTAAACTGAGATATTTTATATTTACATGATTTTTATATAATTTAAAACATGAATCAACTAAGTGGCAAGTACGTGAACGTAGTTCTGTCGGTAGAATCTGGTAGAGGTATGGATTTCCTCAAGAACGAGGTCAATATTACAGCTAACTTCAACAGCAGAATACTAGGTAAGTAAAAACAGTAAAGTGCGAAAGTGTTTTACCAATTGTTCAAAACCCTTATTCGCAAGCAACATCAGAAAGATGATAATCTTTGAAAATAGCTACTAAAGGGTGATTCAAATTGAGTTTCCACATAACAAATTAATTTTTTTTTGAAACGCTACTGAATTTGTCAACGACAATGTGCCATTTCTAACGAAAAAAAAAAATATAAACGAAACAGTCATGGATCAATATACGACCGAACAACGTGTTAAAATTATCCAAGCCTATAATGAAAACCGCCGATCAAGTAAGAATACATTTCGTGCTTTACGTTAATTTTTTGGCGCACAAAATCGGCCTTGTGAGAGGACAATTTGGAATGTGGTGCAAAAATTCTAGCAAACTGGACCCGTCGCTAACATCAAAACCCCTAGGCATGCTCGTAGAGGTCGGTCAGAACACAAGATTGCTATTGTTGCCGAAAGTGTGGCCAAAAATCCAAGAACATCGTTCGAAACAACTGGACCTTACCTATTCCACTACACAGCGGATTTTAACAAAATATTTGAAGTTACACCCATACAGAGTCCAAATAACACAGGAATTGAAGCCTAGAGATCATCAACAGTGTGTTTACTAAATGGATAAGAGAACAAGGGGTAAATTTTAAAATGAAAATAATCTTTAGTGGTGAGGCACATTTTAACATTGGGGGCTTCGTAAACACTCACAGTTGCCGTACTTGGGGATTGGAAAATCCAAGACAGATTGTTGAAGTGAAAATGCATCCTCAAAAGGTGACTGTTTGGTGTACCTTTTTGGTTCGGAGACGTAATTGGTCCATTTTTTTTAACATCATGCGGATAACGCTATTACGGTTAATAGCGTTCGCTATCGGATCATGATGACTGAGTTTTTCTGGGAACAGTTGGAAGATATGGAAAGTTTCCAGGTCGCGATATTTCACGTAACGGCGATATCAATAGGCCGCCGCTATCCTGTGGTTTAACTCCCTTAGATTATTTTCTTTGGGGGTATCTCAAGAGGAAAGTCTACAAGAATAACCCGAACACAATTGCGGGGCTGAAACAGGAGATCAGACGCGAAATTATCAACATAAGACCTGATTTGTGCCACAGAGTAGTCGAAAATTTCTCAAAACGGATTACGTCATGCCACATGAGCCGCGGCGGTCATTTATTTGATATCATCTTTCATGCATAATTGTATTGATCTACCCTGAAAGGGCAAATACATATTCTTTTTTTTTAATACTTCTAATGTGAAAACTGAATTTGAATCACCCATTATTACTAGATCATTTAGATTCCAATCATTCCAATCATTTCAATTTACTGCTGTAAGGGTTAAACTGTAGAATATAAGGAGTTCGGCCTTGTGCTCGGGCTTGATTCCTACTGAGGTAGAAGTGTGACTTTCCCCAGACCATGAAATGCTTCATGGCTGGTCACATTACCAACGCGGGCGTTCCATAGGGATCAGTTTTGGTTCCAACGTTGCTTCTGCTTCTGATCTCTTTATAGTAGAGAGGAGGGGATATTGGGATTTACTCCAGGGCGGCTGTTTAATGATTAGGGGAGATACTTTGAATACTATTTAGTACTTCCACTATATCTAAGCTTTTTATACAGGGAGAACATCTAGAGCAGCAGAACAGAATAGTAAAAAAATCAATGTTAATTAAATGTACCTGCGCAACTTAGATGAACAGCATGGACTGTTTTGTACAGAAATGCATTGGGAATGTGCTTTTCTTCCATTATATGAACTGATAAAACAATGTTTTTGCAATAGCTCCACCTTCCAATAGTGCCCTCGGTTTTAGAAGACAAAAACACGAATGAGATAACAAACATGATCACTGCCTCCTTGTTGGTTAACTCCTTGGAATCCCGTATCACAAATCGTAAAGATCTATTTGATAATAATTTGCTCTGTATGAGGAGAATTGTCAAAGATCACAACTAGGTACTTATGCTCATGTACTCTCTGCAAAGGACCATTATCGACTTGATAATTGAATTGAATGGGAACCATCTTCCTTGTGTATGACATAACACTGCGTTTGCTGATGTTGATTGGCAGATTGTTTATGACACAGAATTCTAACACCTTGTCGAAGTCGAGCATCATCCGACACCGTGAAATATCTTCGAGTCATCTGCATGAGTCAGATGGTAACGATCGATATTATTAACAATGTCGTTAATAAAAACAGTGAAAAGCAGAGGACCGAGACATGAGCTTTGATGCACAACTGAAGTTGGAAGTATATCCTCGGATTTACTACCTTCGTACTCAATATATTGCCTCCTGTCTAACAAATATTATCTAAAGAGTGAATATAAACCAGGAGGTAACGTAGCCTTGTTCAACGTTAGGCTTTTTGCAAAAAAAACTTTTTAATGATTAAAGATAACGAATGTCTTATACTTGTTGTTCAAAATTCGTAGACAACGTAGATGCTTCAAACATTTCACCTGAAGACTATTGTAGTTAAATTGCCAATAGAAAATTGTATAGACAATGGAAGTCAGAGATAAAGTCTTTAAATGCCTTACAGTAGGAGATATCAAAAAATTTGGCCAAGTGTATGAAATGGTTCATTTGAAAACCTCCTAAACGAAATTATAGACCTTAGACCTTATTAGTGATACGATCATCCTTTCAGAATCTGACAAAATCTCAGCCGAGGAATGCCCCCCATTCAACACCGAACTGGTATGGGAAATAGACAAGAAAGAGTTGCGTAAAATCAGAAGCGCAAACCAACCCTTACGTGTTGAATGCATCACTACCGATGCTCATAATCGTAGAGAAAGGGTTGGATTTGCCCTCTTGAGCCTAAGAAGCGCCCAGATCATACCCCAGAAGCAAGCAGATGAGCCGACCAAGTATAGTTGGTATAAATTGATCGGTTGTCAGACGGATAAGAAGAAATTTCATCCAGAGCTGTATATGTCCCTAGCTCTCAGGGATCATTTGCCCAGTGAAGTCGAAACTGCAGCTTTTCCAGCAGGTACATCCTAAAATAAAATAAACTTCCATCCGACCAAAGACAGCAAACCATGGACAGCTGTTTCGTGCTTTGGAGAGTCTCAAACAAGACAGAAAATGTTGAACTCGCGACTCCTTGCGCTGTGCCCAAAAGCATGACTTAACGTCACTATTGAAGGTCCAGATAAGTAATCAAAACTTACAGTTATTCGAATATGTAAAAATTCTTCGTGTTGTTTTTATCATAAAATTGAGATTTATCGAACACGTCAAAACTCTTTCGCAGGAAACTTATCTAAGGCTACGTATTCTAATTGCAAACAAGTATGTACAAAATTTCATATTTCATATTGCACGTGTTAGGCATAAATATTTCTGTCCAACATACGCTAGGTGGCGCTGTCATAGCCCAGATAATACGTCACAACTTTTCGGTTACGCACCCAATAGTGTAACACAAAGTTTGGAACAAAATAGTTGTACACAATTTTTTAGTTCTGTTTTGTTTAATTATGGTGAATTCATCTCAAGGTGCTATGCCATATATTTCCGAAGAAGATAACAATGCTCCGCAAGAGGTTTCTTCGATTTTTCCTATCAAGTACTTCCACGATGGACATATACAAGTTGGCGATGAAGGCAAGACTTGTTCCAATTACTTTCTCAATATTTTGGTTAAGGAAGCGGCCAACTTGGATACATTGCTACCAGAAGTGCTGGTGTTCCAACAACTCAAAGACAAGTATTACCTGTCCTTCAAGATGCTCGGGGTAAGAAAATACATCGAATAATGTCACAAATTTTCCCCAGAAACTGTTATATTAGATTGCGGCTCGACATTGATTTTCTAGATCAACCAAAAATTCCCCGACCTTGAACATTCCTCCAATCGGTATACTTTTTCTTCCTACCTCCTTTCTGTTTTCGTCCCTTCTTTTTCTCTGACGTTATTTGGTTTCTGAACAACCAAACTTGACAGAGATCTTTGATCTACAAAGCTTTAAGCTATAAAAGCTACTACAGACTCTTCTGATGTGTACCTCTGACTGACATTTGTTATCTGATGATCATTTCAACTTTAGATAAGTATTAAGACCAAACCCTTCAAGAAAGAACTTCATAACAGCATTGTCTTGAACGAGAAAATCGTAGTCAACCTCATGTCCGAAAAAGATATATTGGAAGAGTTCTTCAGAGAACAAGGTGTGACCATCATATTCCAATATGGCCAAGACAAACTGGGTATCACCAGCATGGACCTAGATGACATTTTTCAGCAAAAGAGTCAGAGGTGCTTTTTCAAGTTCCCATCACCAAATGGTATGATACCATTCGGAAGTACCGATAAGTCTCCTTATATTGAGCTGCTCATTTGGATGGAGGAGAAGGGTTGTGAAGCTTCAGAAGAGGAAGACATTCAGAAGCCTAAAATCAAAACAATATTCTCTAATGCAGAAAAGAAGCCTGATCAAGCTGAAGGCCAGGTGATAGGTACGTAGGTGGTAGAGTAGATTATAGTTTCAGGATAAGTGGTTCTCCATTTCAGGTCTTCCCGATGTTTCCAAGACATCTTTCGAGATCATGTGGAAACATCTAGAGCTTGACAAGTTACAATCTATATATATCAAGAGTTCTTGCAATCGCAAACGCCATGTATGCAGCATTTGTGTTTGCCAAAAGAACGTAAATGTTGTAATGCTTTATTTGACATTTAAGTCAATGATCCATTTGTGGTACATATCAAACGTTAACGGTCATGTGTACGCGATGCTCGGGATTGCCAGAACTTCCTATTGGCTGAGAATATTTGTACATAAAATACTACACTGACACTTTTTTGTAGGTGTTTATATTCTGGACAAACTGGAGAAAGCAGACCTCAAATCTTTATCTGACAATGACGTGACCGAAGAAGATATCGTACAAAAGCCCTTCATCACTAAGTCGGTGGACACTGTTATAAAAAACGTCCCTTTATCGCCGAAACGACCAGGACCTTTCGACCCTTACCAAAAATACGTCACTCAGATCACGTTGAAGAGTATAATTTGGACAATCCCACCCCCTGATACGAAGATAATGTTCAAGTTTTTGCACCCAAAAGCAGCTAGTTGCATCTCTGTGTTTACTGAAATTAGCAATGAAGTCGATGGTCACATACCATTGAATAACTTGGAAGTCAAAATTGGATACATCTCCACACCAGAAAAGATCAAGAAGCTCTTAACAGTCTGGACCCCAAGACTCTTGTTAACAGATGAATTTGAAGTCAGTTTATGTGAAGAGTACCAATTTAACATAGATTGTATAGATGACACTTTAGAGTATGACATAACACTAAGAGCTTCCAGAAACTATGAGCCAATGGCAAAAATTAACGTATACGTAAGTTTGAAATATTTCGATTTGGATGATGTTGATCAATTCGAGCATTTGTATCTCCTTCCCATAATAATCGATGAAATAATTTCTGCCAAAGAAGTGAGTGACATAGAAAAATGGAAGGCCCAAGAAAAAGCAAGGTTTGAAGCAAGCTTGGAAATAATAAAGCAAGAAGAGATCAGGGCATTGGGCGAAGAATGGAAAGCAAAGAAAGATGATCTTGAAGATAAGCTTAACGCGCAGATGGACAAGTGCAGAAAACTGCAAGAGGATTTGAAGAAGAAGCTCATCAGCTTGAAAACTGATAGAAGCTTAGTGAAGCAACACAATTATAACCAGTTGTACGAAAATATCTTCATTGAGAATTGGAGAAGATTCTCCAACGACAACACGAAAGAGTTGATCGAAACTTTGAGCAGGTCAGAACGTGACAACGAGCTGTTGAAACAAATGGCTGATGACCTCAGAGAGAACCTGGCGAACATGGAGAAAACCAGCTTGACGAAGAAACAAACAACAAATCTACTAGAAGAACTGAAGACGCTAGAGCAGAAATTTGAGGAAACTCAAAGCGCGAAGAGTTATTTCAAAGACCAATGGAAGAAAGCTTGTGACGAGATTCATGACTTGAAGACGGAAGATATACAGATTATGCAAATACAGATCAAGCAAAGTAAGGAAGAGTTGAATAGGATTGGTATAAAGGAAGGAGAGGGGGACGAAAGCTCTGCGAGTGATAGTAGTGGGTAGTGATTTATGATTCTTGTGAATAAAGGTATATGAAACTTATTTAATAAAATTTGTTTTATTTGTACTGGCTGCATGGACTCTTTATGTTCTAATGCCAATAAACAATAACAAAAAAATGATTTACTTGTAGTTATAGTTTAATGACAATGTAGAAAAACCGACTTTACTATCAACAACATACAGGGTATCGCATGAAGAAGTGCATCGATCGATTTTTTCGGTTTACAGGGTAACTTCTACCCCCAATGTAGCAGCTAGGCCAGATGATGCTATTATTGCTACAAACAATATTGTGCTGAATAGCTTCACAGAAAAGGAGGTTCTTATGGCATTAAAGAAAATGAAAAACAAGTTCACTACTGGACCTGATGGTATACCTGCATTCTTAATCCGTGATTGTGCACCTATTCTTGCTGCACCTTTAACTAAAATCTATAACCTAAGTATCAGATCACATACATTTCCTGAGATTTGGCGTGAAGCCAAGGTTCGACCTATCCATAAAAATGGAAACCGTAAATTAATTGAAAACCATAGGCCTATCACTATTGTGAGTAATTTTTCGAAAACGTTTGAAATGTTATTACATAATTTCATACAATACAACGTAAGTTCTTCAATTTCTACAGCACAACATGGATTTGTAAAAGGAAGGTCGACAACAACAAACTTAGTCTGTTTAACTCAATTCCTAGCAGGTGTTTTAGATTCTAATGGTTAGGTTGATGTGCTATATACTGATTTCAGTAAAGCGTTTGATAGAGTCGATCATGGTTTACTACTGGGAAAACTAAATAGCATTGGCTTATCCAAAAATTTGGTATTATTATTTCAGTCGTATTTGTCTGATCGCAAACTATATGTGGATTTTAACGGTGGTAAATCAATTCACTTTTTTCCATCTACTGGCGTCCCACAAGGATCTTCCTTAGGTCCACTGCTATTCGTCATTTTTATTAATGACTCAGTTAATACGATTGACTGCAATATTCTGCTCTACGCGGACGACGTAAAACTCTACTGGCAAATTGATGATCCATCTAGTTGCTTTTATTTACAAAGGAATCTTGACAGACTGTCTGAGTGGTGTACTGCTAATAAACTTCCTATCAACGTGAGCAAATGTAAATCTTTAACTTTCACTAGGAGAGTAAATTCAATTACCAATAGTTATAAAATTAACAACATTCCTCTTCAGACTTTAGAGGAGTTCAGGGACCTAGGAGTAATATTTGACAGGACATTGAGCTTCAGTGCACACCTCACTAATTTAATGAATTCTGCTAATAAAGCACTGGGATTCGTTATACGCAATTCAAGAGAGTTTATCGGTACCACAGCACCTACAGTGCTGTATAATTCGTTTGTTCTTTCTAAGCTGGAATACGGAAGAATAATCTGGAACCCATGCTATGTTACCTCATGTGACTCATTGGAAAAAATTCAGAGGAAGTTCTTGAAGTATTTATCTCTCAAAACTGATGGTGTTTATCCTCCCATAGGGATTTCACAAAATAACTTACTTCAAAAGCATAGGTTTCTCAGCCTTGATGATAGAAGGAAGATACAATCTTTAGTCTTTTTGTTTAAAGTTATAAATTACCAACATGACTGTCCATCATTTTTGTCTATGCTAAATTTCAATACACCCAGAGTACGAACAAGGGCCAACCTTGCCTTTTACCTACCTACCCCACGAACAAATCTACTGCTGCACTCACCGCTATATTCGATATGCTCATGTTATAATGACTATATGAATTATTTTGATATCTTCAACACATCCATTTTTATTATTAAGAGAGTATGTAAAGCGGTATTTTTTTTTTAGAGCTACCACAGTTTGATTGAGCTATGATCAGTTGTAGCTTTTCATGGGTTCTTATTGGTAATTACAAAGCAATCAATGCTATTAGTTTATTTTGTGATTTTTATATATATATGTACGGTATTTCCCACCAGTAATTGGTTTATAAACTGTTGGTGGTGTAATTAAATAAATAAATAAATAAATAAATAAATAAACTGATGCGAATAACTCGGCTGATATATTGTAGATTCTAGCGTCGAATTAACCTTGAATTTGAAATCCAAATACCCGATTTATGCAGCAAACCAGTTTACATGAAGATCTCAGATAAGGAGGGTTTTTTTAAAGCTTTTCATGGGATACCTAAAAATATTATAGTACCTTGCTAATTTAGGGTGTTAAACATGGCTATGACCGTCGAAGAATGGTGGTATCGTAAAGTCGAATTTATTTAAATAAACTGGTCACTTTTGTGCTCAAAATAATACTAGGAACTGTTATCGGCACCCCCACCTATGATGAGGTAATAAATACAAGCAATAATTTTGAATTCGTCGAAAGTATTTGCGTAGTTTCTAGTACGAGGTCTGTAAATTCTGTCATGTGGTCCGCATACAGTTCAAGTTTGAACTAACTCAGTTGGCTGTCCGTAGTGATTTTTTTGTGTTTTTTGTGAGTTTGATCATCAGTTGACAGTAACAATGATCGGGGAAGGGTTAAATTTGACTTACAACACCGTTCATCAGTTCTGGAGTTGGAAAATCACCTCAAGGGAACTCATTTAGCAAAGTCGAAAACATACAATTGCTGTAACCGACCAGCTGACGGGTGTAAGAACCGTCTCTATCGCTGTGTGGCTTCAGAAGGAAATTATATTGAGGGTAACAATATAAAACTGCAATTAACTTTGAATAAAAAAATTAAAAAAAGGTCAGTCTCATCCCTCACTTTACATACCTCAAATGTGTTCTTAAATTCGTGGAAAAATTGAAATTACCTAGTCTTACCATAGCACTTGGCACAAATACTGCCTTGTATATGACATGAAAAAATTTACAAAAAATCAGTCTCATGACTTAATTTACAGACCTCGTATATCAAGTGGTCAGAGAAACGAAATCGGGGAACATTGAGTACCTCGCCTTAACGCTGAAAACATATCAAGTCCGCGTCTATTTATTATTGGCATTTTCCAATAACTTATATATTATTCGTATATTTTTCGGTTTATAACAGTACATTTTTCAGTCAGTTGAATTTTCTTTTCCGTTGACGCATAAAAGAAAATAACGCACTACATCAGTCGAGAACAATAAACATGAACGCACCATTCATGTGAACAGCCTCAGAATGAGGTTAGAGTTTAATGCGTCCTCATAATCATAAAAACATGAAATTACATCTGGCACCGCTGATATATTCCCGCCAGACTCATTTTGTTTATAATACAAATGGCAAGTTGTACATCATACCGCATGCTTACCTCTGGCAGAATGACAAACTATGTGCGATTCCAGACTTATATAAAGCCAAGCTTACACCTGAATGATATGAGTTAGTGACAACAAGTACACACCTAGACCTAGTTTCAAATGAAATTGTACAAATAGATGTTGCAGTCAAAAATAATATTAAGGTATTACCAATGTGACGTCGGAGGTGAGATTCCTCAACAGCTGGCCGAACAACAGAAGGTAACACGCCCAGTAGCAAGGTAAATGGACCGCAGTCAGCCGACGCTCAACCCCCATACCAAGCACACAAATTCTTCAGATTTCTTGCTACATATTTCTGAATTACGGCAAAGTCTCAATGCTGCTCAAGATTTAGTTTAGTTTTTTAATAATTTCTATAGCTATAGGACAGCGCAAAGATAGTTAGACAGTTAATTGTCCTTTTAGATCATGTTACATGATATAAGACTTGTCAATGTGAAAGTCATACATGCGTTTGAGCAAATATGCCGGAAAAATATGTATAAATATAAAATAAATGACAGCAATTACAGAAAAGTATATATCATGTAAACAAGTTAAATCACATATAGTGTACAGCGCAATAATCTAAAGGTGTTTAATCAGTAACGTTGAAAATATGTATATATGTACTTACATATACAGCGGCTTTATAGCAAGAAATGTTCGTCTAGCGGATAAACATCATTGAAGTATACGAGGCTATATATACTATCTGTCTTGGTGTCACTACGCGGAATGACACTGTCTGTCACTCCGTGTAAACAAAAGAAATTTGTAGTAATGGGAACTAAAAGATCATCAGAGGGTGTAGATTTTTTTCCGAATTTTTTAAAGCCTATAATTTGAAAGGAACACTTTTTACAATTTTCCAATAACTATTCTGACTTGGCACTATCCCCCGGCTTGACGTGGACTTCTTGTACACCCTGTATAGCTTATATATATATATATATTCATATAACAAAAAATAGGAAAATAATGGGTAAAATTTGCAAAAAGAAAGAAAGTGGATTCGAGCAGAAAATAGGATAGGTAACCCGAGCAATACGTATTTCTGCTTGTTGGCTTCATCAGGCCCGAAATGAATGTACATATGCAACCACAAAAGTAGATACAGGTGCTCATACATCCGGATACGGGTGTAATCTGAGGAAACGAAGATTGAGAGGGAAAAAAATGACACACGAAGTCCCCAACAAGAGCCAACCTACACATTGAAGTATAAAATGGCTAGAAGACCTCAAATTTTCAAAGCGACATCTAACCACAACCACGTTGCCGGTTATAGGCACTTGCTGTGGCAGTTCAAGCCAAAAGGATTTAAAAAGAGAAAATGATCATGCGGAGAAAGGTCTATAACAAAAAATAGAAAGGAATAGGATTTTGCCCATTATTTTCCTATTTTTTGCTATTTTGTGCTATACACCTTTCTCCACATGATCATTTTCTTTTTATAGTCATATATACATATATTTATACCATATATATATATATATATATATATGCCCATTATTTTCCTACTTGTTTATATATATATATATATACGTATATATATGTTTACCATATGCATTATTGTGTATCGAGTGGTTGATATAGAATGAAGAATTGGTAGGTGGAAATCTTCAGATTCCACATCTACTTCCATACATTCTTGCTACTTATTTACCTACAAGTGGATACAAAGCTTAAGACTAACCATCTAAAAATGCGGTTGGGGGCAAAAAAATTGGCACGCTCTTCGGTGCATGCTGCAAATTCTTCACGCGACATTTAGGATGAAA